TTAAAAAATCTTGATTTTATAATTAGTTATCTGGTCTATATTCAAAATTTGTCTCATCGTCTTTATCAATTATGAGAGAACATGGTAAATATTAATATTATTATTAAATAAATAAATAAATATCTTTATTTATTTAATTAAAATTTTTAATTAAATTAAATACTTATATAAGTTCAATTGATAATAAAATTAATTGATACTTCATATTATCGCAATATTTTAGATTTCAGTTTCTTTATGTTTTTTTTTTTTAAATAATTGATAATTAAACTATACAAGTTAGAGATAATATAGTTAAAATACTTAATCATAATACTACGCTGTGAAAAATATAAGAATTCGCCTAAATTTGTTGATAAAATAAAACATTCGAATAAACTAATTGGTACTCTTAAGCGATACCAGATTTTTATTGCTAAGTAAACATAAAAGATAAAAAAACTTTTTTTTTTTTTCACAATTTCCGAATTATGGATTGTTTATTTTTTTAAAGACTCGTGGAAACAAGCCATAAAAAGTGTTAATGAACACACTGTCGATTTGTTTATCATTTTATACTATGTAATTTAAAGTAAGCCAATTATTATTAAAAAGGATAGGTCAGGAATTTAAACTGATGATAATGAATAAAATGTGTAAATTTATTTAAAAATTAGCGTATGAATAATTTAGATATGCAAACAAAATGTATTAAAATTAATATATATGAATTAATTCACTTTTATTAAAAACTTATTCAATGTGTATATAGATAATGATTGTAAGAAATATAAAAAAAAATTAAATGAAATTTGGTTATTATCCATCTTATATAAATAACATATATCACCTCACACTTACATACGATATTTGTAAATAAAATAAAATAAAATAAAATAAAATAAAATGAAATAAAATAAAATAAAATAAAATAAAATAAATAAAATAAAATAAAATAAAATAAAAATATATTGATTAATGGATACAGTAAGTTGGAGTTTTGTTGAAATTTAAACTTTATATTATGATTTTTATCAAAACTTCAAAGATACAATGTCAATATCACGCTCTTATAACTTCCAATATTAAAGATCTAATAATATTCTTAGCAATTGGTTTATAAGCTATAGCAAATATCTAAATAGATAAGTTAACAATTATAAAAAAGAAAACTGGGGTCGGAACGTTATTAGAAAGGACCGAGCAAAGGTTTAAGTAGTAAATAAGACCTATTTATTATTAAATGGAAGCATAGACCCAATGGTTGACTTTAAAAGGCTATTTTTGAAAACATATTTTAGAGCATATATACTAGTATCGCAAAATTTTAACAGCATTGCCAGTTATAGATAATATGCAAGAAATAATAGTCTTAAACTACACTAATACGAGCCCTAAGCAACTCAAATTCAATGAGAACTTTCAGTTTTTAAATTTTCCATTTTGTTTGGATATTATTGCTTTATAAATCATTTATCTGTATTTATGCTTATTTATTATAATAATTTATTTATTATTTATTATAATTTATTTATTATAATTTATTTATTATTTATTATAATTTATTTATTATAATAATAAGAGTACTTTATATTAATATTAAATAATAGATATAAAACATAAAATAACACACTGTGAAGCATCTGCTTTATGTTCTTGTCCAAAACTTTGCTCAGACCCTTTGTACATATATATACATATATGTCGTGTCTTTGTTGGAGGCTCAATAGCGCTAAACATTCACCGTAATGGTAACTCTTTCGTCATTCAAAAGAAATAAGGATCTATGATGCCGCCATAAAGTGCAAAAAACAGTCAATTTTGATAGTTGTTTGATGGTTTTAAATCAAGAATAGTAAAATTAGAACACGATCAATAACTGCTCTAATTGCTTGCTCAATAGGTTGATTATGTTGACCGTAAAATGGATGAAGTGCTAGCGAACAGTTTTATTTTTTTCACAGTAAATTTCCACAATTTGGAAGTGTTGTTCTAACTTCAAACGATTCATGATGAAATGCTAAGCCTTACTGAACAGAAATATCGTCATAGTTTGACATTATCAGCTATCAAACCATAGTTAGCAATATCGATAGTTCTTATGCAAAAAAGGAAACACCCAATATTTTTGTTTTCGATAGATAAAATCATAAGATATAAAAAGAACCAGCTTAAATTCTGTATTCTGTATTCAACTTCCAATGCTACTCTTAACATTTATATTGAGCTTGACATTGAAATTTCTATATCAAGCTTTCCAACAGATAACGATATTATTGAGCACTATAGCTCTAAATTACTGAATCCATTTCTTAACTTAACGAAAAATGATGATGTGGGTGCGGTGGATTAAATTGTTTATCAGCCTTCCAAGAATGAAGTAGAAGACTTATTTATTATATGCATAAGCATATACAAGTCAAAAGAAGCAGTTGCGCTAAAACACTGCAATGCTTACAATCACTTTTCAAACACAACAACCTTAGCGTGAAGAACAGAAAACTGGTCTAGAGCCAGATAATTAGACCAGCATTACTTTATGGGTGTGTCGCGTATAGCAAAGCTGCCGACTCTAGTATACAAAAGCTACAAGTCGCTCAAAGTCAGGCTCTCCGAAGACTCTTCAAAGTGTATCCTTGGTACATCCGCACAAACGACATGCTAAGAGACCTTAGAATAGACCCGATCAAAAAATACATAAGGGACAGAGACCTGAAGTTATATGCGAAAATTGACAGGCTATCCTACTTACCACTATCTAATCTTAGAGTAATCAGTCTCCGCACGGGGAGGTACGCAGATCTTTGATCAATCACTGAATAATTATGAAGCTTATAAGAGATATACAAATTAGTCGATAAGATGGGTGGGACCCTGTAGTACCCCCAGCTATCAAAGAGTAAAAGTGCCCAGTTGCGCTGACTCGAAAAAAAAAGGATCAACATCACTTACTCAAAATTCTTTTTTTTTTTTTTTGCAAACCTTTGTTACTACAACTGATGATCACTATAAGGCTTTGAATAAGTTGGAATCTCTTTTTACTGAAAATAAAAAAAATTTTAAATCTCAAACTCTAATTTCTGAATGTTTTACTTTACTTCTGTGCTGTATTTGATTTGAAATAAATAAATATCTTAAAATGCATTTCTAGTAACTTTCATAAATAAAAAAAAAGAAATGATTCTTTAACTCGAAGTCTCCATAAGTCGAACTTCTTTTTTACAAAATGATCGAGTTATGGAAGTTCGATTATATTTATATGGTACTTGAACTTTCATTTCTGAATTTTAAACATCTTAACAAATTCAATATATACATTATCTATTTCAAACGTTTTCGAATATAATGATTAAAATGATTCATTTGAGATATTTTTTATAGAACAAGATATCTCTGCTTGTAGCCGGTGTTGACGGCTGTCACGTCAATTTTTAGTGGTATTGTCAATAATTGAAACTGAGAAATTGAAGAAGAAAATATTGAGGTATGGTCAAATTTCTGTACTTAAAATGCTGTATATCGTTCTCATCATCAAATACAGTGCAGACATCTTTTCTTAACTTTTCATAACTTCGTCCTAATTCCCAAACTCAAATTACCACTTCGTAGAAAATGCGTAGAGAGATGTTCTGGAAGATGATTTCTGTAACAGTGCAAAAATTTTAGAAAAAATGGAAATACTATAGGTGATCATTGTTAGTTCACAGAATAGGTTGTTAGCCGCTGTGCCAGTGAGAATATATATGTTAAATATTTTTTTAAACTATTAAAAAGTTTAACTGCAGAAGTAAACGCTTTGAGATGTTATGGGTGACATGTGGTGTATCGTAAAAATGGCTTGAAATATTGTAATAAAGGTGAATATATTTGTACTGTACATTTATAAAGAATTAATTATTTGAGTTCTAATTATATTAGTTTGAAAACTTTTTAATAGTTTTCTAGTAGATTATGTGCTCACCACGAATGAAATAAGTGCTTATATATTTGTAACAACAGACAGAAATACCTGATCAAACGAATGAGTGAACTTGTGCTCATTTACATGTAAGTAATAAATGATATATATTTAAATGTCATTTATTGTTTATTAGAATTTTATGACTTTATTGATATTAGGGGGAAAATTATGTTAGTAGCAGTTAAATGATTGTTTATGAATTAAACTGAAGCACGTGCTGTTAGCAAAAAAAAGAGTAGTTATACTTGTAAATAAGAGAACTCACAGTAATAAAGAGAACTACATTCTCTAAAACAAAAATAAAATTACTGAAATCTTTAGCGACGCTCATACAAATGCGTAGACTTCGTAAGAGAGTTTGCAGATACAAAACAAACAATTTTGTTTAAAAACATTTGGTGCGAATTAGAAAAGGAACTCGTAAAAAATGGCAATAAATAACAGGATCTCAAGAACTGTAGTCTTCAGTTTCAATTCTTATAGACATTTTCTTCAGTTGGTACTAAAGCTTCAAAATTACAGAACAGAGTCCGACTTTTATTTGCGTACTTTTTATATATAATGAACGCACATATTAGAGGCAGCTAAAATCTATCTGAACGATTTTTCTTGCTGGTTTAGGTGTTCGGTTCTGTTTTGTTTGCAGTTGATTTCAACATTTTGCTTGACTCTCGGAATGCAGACAGCTGTGCCTACAAATTATTTGAAGTTCAGTTTTGTAGAAGCGCGCGAGTTATGATGACGTGTTGGGTAGTCAGTTAAGACTAAATGAATGCAAAAAATATAACAAGAATTATATATAATTAATACAAAAAAAAAGTATATTATTTAATTATTAATAAAAATATATTTAACTATATAAATCCAGTAATTTTTAAAAATAAAAAGCCAGTATTAAAATGGCAAGTTCAACGTAAATAAATGAACACGTGTACCATTAAGCAAAAAATTAAGAGAGCATAAAAAGTTGAATAAACTTTTTTTAAACAGATAACTTCTCAACTATACAAAAACAATAACAATAATATAAACAAGAATAAAAATGTGTTTATTATAATTTTAAAAAATTAATATTTAAAAATTATGATTTAATTTAATATAAATTTTGCTTCAAATATGTACTAAGTTCCGGCAAAAAGTGACATTCTTATTAAGAAAAGAAACGTGGTTGCAGCAGACAATCACAAAAACCCGCGTCATATACATCACAAAAAGCTGATGAAATCACATTAAAAATTTAAGTTAAAATTTACTTTCAACTTCTTTAAAAAATAAGAGCAGCAATTGTCTGAGATAGCAGAAGAATAAAAAGAATGGCTCGAGTGCAAGCCACGGATAGTTTAGTACCCCGACAAGTCTTTGAAATACCCACGACCTCTTCGGTCAAATCAGATAGACAAATGCAGAACTCAAGCTCAGATGATTCCAGTCAGGGATCTGGTGTAAAATTAAAGAAGCGAATAGGTCTTTTAGATGGTGTGGCTATAATTGTTGGTGTAATTGTCGGTGCTGGTATTTTTGTGAGTCCAAAAGGTGTGCTAATTTACTCCGGTTCTATTGGACAATCACTTATCGTTTGGGTGTTATGTGGTGTGCTAAGCATGGTTGGCGCGCTTTGTTATGCGGAACTTGGTGAGTAATGTATTTTGTGTTTATCTATAATTAACGTTTAACACATTAGTAATGTAAGTAAACATAAGTTATCGATTATATGTATAAACAGATATAATGTGTAGATAAATATGGAATGTAATAATGATTTATATTATTTCCTTAATTTTCTGATAATTATATTTTCGTTTGAATGGGCTTATTATATTTATTGAATGAAAAAAAATAGAAACATGTGCGTATTCTATATCTACATATATGTGTGTAATTACATATATATTATATATTTATATTAATATACATGAATAAGTTAATCGTTTATTATTACGTTATTTTCATATTTTTTCTTTGTTGTTTTTGTAATATTATTTCTAAAAAAAATAATAGTATTGAAATTTAACAATTGAAAATAAAATTATAATTAATTAATTAATTCAATTATTCTACAGCTGGTTTATGATTTCGTACTAATATAAACACAGCAAGTAAAATTGTTAATAAAAACTTTCATAGTAATAGTAACAAAACTCCAGAAAAATATGCGAACAAAAAAGTCAAGTACGGCTTTGGATCAGTTGGTTAAGATGCGCTGATTCTAAGCTTCACATTTGGCAGGACCCGAGTTCGATTCCTGGTACTTGCAGTCTCAAAAATAATTATTAAATACATAATTAAATACAAGAATTATTTCTAAGACCACTGATGATGGGTATTTGGCAATACTCGAAACAGCTATATGGTCAGCTAAAAATTCAATTAATTAAAATAATATAAAAAATAAAATTTTGTTGTTGTATTTCACTACTGTTCGAAACAACCTCTTTATAAAAAAAATAATTTTAAAAAAATATATTAATTTACAGAAATATTTAAAATTTTATTACAAATTTTTTACTAATGTCTTAAAGCTTCAAAATTTTTTAATTTATATATAATAATTCCCTTACACATTAATTTTAATGTTTCATAATTCTTAATTTAAAATGTAAATGCTTACATATGTATGTATTTCAAAATAAAAAAAAATGAAATAAACCAAAAATCTAATTATCTGAAGTATATTTTAGTCTCGTAATGTTAAAAAGTTGTTAGACTAGCTTTTTTAATCAATGAAACATCGCATAATCTGAAAAAGCTGTTATTGCTTCTCAATATTACGATTTTTCTTTGAAGTAGTGGCGTTATAAGAAGGAGGAGAGTGTTTGTGCCCTCTTTTAATTCAAACAGAATTTTAAATTAATACTTATGTACATATTTGAAATAAATTGAGGTAAATCACCTCCGTTAAGGAATGTAGAATAACTTGGACAAAAATTATGAAAATTTCTACTGTACTAATGTCTATATATTACAGAACAGAGTTATAAGTTATGTACCTATTTTCTATAATTCGATATTCAAAATGAGAAGAATAAACAATATATTGACCTTTTTAAGTAGGCAGTAAATTTAGTGATATCTTTAAAATACTATATAGAAATACCGCCCTTATAGTCACTATGATGACTGATTATTGTCGGGTAAGAAACTATGCTGGAAGACTAAATATGCCCTTAAATTAAATAGGTCATAGTTATAAGTAAAAACGAGTGACTGTTTTATATATATTTTGACATTATTCAGTTTATGTGTAATGTAGCTTATATATACTATTGACTTACTCTCTTGAGAACATTAGTCATTATAAGTAGACATTTTAAAACTTTTTAAACTATTTTAAGAAGCTAAGCTAATAATCTTTAACAGGTAAAGATTAGCTATCTAAATATAAACCTTAGAATCCTCATTATAATTTTAGCTCACTCAAGGTATTTCAAAGATTAAATTTTTTAAATTGGGTTTAAATTGGTATAAATTAGTATTAAATTGGTATGTCAGCAAATCAACCTGATTTTACAATGAAATTGAATCAATAATACTCAAAATACAACCAGTTTCAAACATATTTTTCAAAAAATACAACTGAGTTCCTGGGTTTCTTAATTATGGACATAAAATTTAACTAAATTTAATTCGTTAGATTTTTCCAACCAAAAACAATAGTTGTCAATACACGGCACTGTTTTTTATTTCCTTAATTTTGTAAATAGCAAAACTGATATCACTTAAACAGTTGTAACTCAATATCTAATAGTTGTAATATTAAACAATTTTGACATATATTGTTTAAATATTAAAATCGAAAGCATTGATTTTTAATAGTTTAGAACGACAATACCTGTATTCGCTATTGTTAGAGATTTTCTCGCAAATAAAGTCAATATTGTTTAAAAGTTATATTTTTAATCGATACTCGATTAAAATCAATATTAAAAAATCCAGTTCTGTGTCTTTGATTATGCAAAATTATTAATAAATTAATTTCAGCTCATATAACTTGCTTCTCATAAAATCTGTTCATTTGCATCACAAGTCTATTTCTGTTGGGATGAGTGAATATGTGTTAGATTATCACAGTTGTAACTTTAATTATAGTAATTCTGCGATGAAAAGATATTACGAATTATAAATATATTTTGTGTTTGTAAATAACATTTATAAACTGTACTTCAAATTATAACATTTTCTATGTATTATATATAACTTTTATAACAAATTATCTCGACTTTTGGAAAATTTCTTTTTCGCAATTTAAATACAATAACATATACTATGGGTTAATATATTAACTCTTTTTCTATAATAATATTATGTCTCTTATTATAGTACTTCCAATTACTACTTACTATTTCGTAGTATAATGAGACTTATATCTTCTTAATGTAGGACAAAGGACTTAGTAGTCAAGTTCCTGATTCTTTTAGTCAACTTTAAAATTAATTTTAATGTTAAATCACAAAAAAATAAATATCTTCTAAGTGTCCGTTTCCCTTAGTAAGGCATAGGGCAGCAATGAGATTTGTAGAAAATATAGTAATTTACTTATTGTAAATCGTAAAAGTAAAGTTGAAAACATTTTTAAAATTTTTTACCACAGAATATTATACATACAAATGCGAAATCTAAATTATAGAACAGTAAATTAGTTTTAACCGGAAATGGCACACGGCATCCCATTACATTGCTCACATTAGAAGTGTGTATTCATTTAGTATCAATTTAACTGACTATAACATATGTTTATAATATTTTTAATAGGTAGCACAAAGATAATACGAAGAATATAATAGTCAAACTCCATATACTTTACGATTCCCTTACAATCAGAAACAGATTGTGCAGCTAATCGTTTTGATCGCCACTCAATGTCTAATGCAATAAACGTACTGATAGCACACTGGCGCATGGATCGATCGAAAAAAATATACATTTCAATCTAAATAGTTGTAGCTTTGAGTCAGAGCGAAAGTGTTATTCATCTGTTCTAACCTAAGACTGCCTTAAACTCTACCAGATGGCGCTTACCTGGTCTGAGTCTCTCTTTTTGAAATATCTGTCCGATATCATTACTCATAGGTAGTAAAGATATTGCTGGTTTTCTATAAGCAACTGATATATTCTCATAAAAACTGTTGTATCACAATGAACCCTCTTTCTGGGTTGCCACTTGAATCTACCCTTCATACTCATAATGAAGGATAGTGAAAGGATAATGAAGGGTTTCAACTTTATTTTTATAAAATTATTTTCCAACAAATTGTGTATATGTTGACAGTGTATAGATATAGTGAATTAACGCAAAATTTAAGGATTAGTTGAAAAGATAAAGATTAAGCAACAACATCTCAATTGAAATATTGTATCATAATGATCAAGAATTTATACGAGTATAGTATGGTGTAGTCTGCTTCATCTTTCTAAGCGAAACAAACATTTTCAGAAACTTAATATGGGTTTTTCACACTATTTGTTGTATGTGTATATAAATATAAATATATTAATTTATATGCAATATATAAAATAAAATTTTAATTATAATCGACATTTTGTGAGGAATTACGAATAAGAAGTATCAGTAGTACCATATAATTGATAACATTTTAATTTAAGCTTTATGAATATTAAATAATGATACTGGAAGAATAATAAAATAAGTGATAGTCTTCTTATTATTAAGTGTTTTAAAAATTTATGAAGTGTCTTAATTATATGCTGATAATTCCTAATTGGAATTATGGTAAGTATATAGCAATTTTATTTCATTCTGAATTTATTCGAATAACCTAAATGAGCAATGGAGTGTGATGGCAAATCTGTTATGGCCACAAGAGGTTTTAAAAAGAATTTCTGAGTAAAAATTAATTGAAGTAATAATGACAAGACAGTCAATACGAAATCGCCTCAAAAACTAATCATTTTGAAATATCCGAAATTACATAAAATATCTAGAATTGTTTTAAAGGTAACTCTCAGTCTAATAACAAAAGATGCATTGAGTATGAAAATGAAATACTGGAGAGTTAAAAAGAAAGTGATTAAGTGTTTTCGATTCTGACTTTATACTTATATATCTATAGCTCAGATAAACTCCTAAATTCAGAGTTTCTATGTATACAACATATAGGTGTTCTATAGGTGCTATAAGTGTTCAACAATTTCTGTCAAAACTATTTAATAATAAGCATGGTATCTCATTACAGCTTTCATTAGTTTTTTTAGTCTATATTTTTGAGACTCTGTTATTCTGATTTTTATTTAATTTATAATTTTTTTTTTAAATTTACCATACATATAATTTTGTTATAATTTTACGTATATCAATATTTGGTCAGACCACTACGTCATAGTTAAATTAATATTATTTATAAATACAAAACAACTAAAAATATTTCTGAACTTAAAAGTAATGTGGTTAGTTGGGTTTAATGGTGGGGACCTTCGTCTTCCGTCCAAGTAGCACACAGACACCGTTTTCTTATCACACACCCGGTCATGAAGCTCTAAGTTTTAATAGTAACGTCGTACTTCAGTTTCGTCTATTTGTTTTATTATGAGTAAAAGGTATAAGTTGACAATAAAAAATAAATAGTCATCCAACATAAAGCTATAAATATAGCTTTAATTATTCATTTTTTTATTTT